TGGGCTTAATTGAGAAGCTTGAAATTTTAAGAGATCAAATTTAATTTTTACCAAGTTAATTGATTGAAATCAGGGGCAAAAATGCAAGAAAATTGAAGTTTTTGGTCAATTAGGGGCTAAATTGATAAAATTCAAGACCAAGGACCATTATGCAACATGTAGCAAACTATGGGGGCTCAATTGACAAAAAACGGGGGCAAAATTAAAGAAATTGAAAGTTTAATGGTCAATTACGGGTTAAATTGACAAAATCCAATACCAAAGACCATATTGTAAAAGGTACCTAACTTCAGGGTTCCAGTTGAAGTTCAACAGGGGCTTAATTGCATTAAATCCAAAGTTTAGAGTCAATTGGGGGTTCAATTGAAAGCAATTGAAAGACGGCAGGGGCTTAATTGTATTAAATCCAAAGTTTAGAGTCAATTAGGGGTTCAATTGAAAACAATTGAAAGAAAAAGGATTCAATTAAAATTTAGTAAAAAATCCTATTTCAGTCCAAAACGGCTCCGTTTTTTCAAAAGAAAAAAAAAAGGACCAGACAACGCGTCGTTTGTATGTTTTTATGGATGTTTTTTTATGATGAAATTGCAAAGAATAAAAAAGAATTTAATATTTTGATTTGCTCATGGATAAAGAATTATGAACTTACACGTAAGTCGTATTTCTAAAATTCAATGAAAGAACAGAATTTTTAAAACTTCTTTAACATATCTAGTCCACGAAGCAGCTTACCTCATGTAGGATCCGTTAGGGGTGCTAATACCTTCCATAATCACAACCAGTCCTTTACCCGCGAATCTCTGACAAGACCAGTATATCTGGGTTTCCTAGTAGCTCTTAATTAAATATTAGGTAGCGACTCTAACGAACCAATCAAAGCAAACGAGTAAATGATAAATTATCAAGCCGATGACGTGCAGATTTTGATGTGCGATATAAGTTAAGATATAAGGGATACATGGAACTAATATGTAGGCACTTGTCATAAAACATATACACTAAACTGATCCGCATAAGAATTTCATATAAAAAAATCACTTATATCTATAGAAAGACTTACATGATAATTATATAAGTGATCATTAGACTTAAGATCACTAAGTTATCTTATATAGAGAATGTTATATTTTGATCCAGTTACAATATATCTTAATCAAGGTAACAAAGTGGTAAACATTGGGTATAACATAAACTATATAAAAGTACTTAAATGATCAAAAGAGAATCTGTTACCCTCTTTGAATTAAAGAAAATGTTTCATCTGTTTTTAAACAGCATTGACTGAGAAATCATTAGCTAAGGTGGAATGAGATTTGAAAAGAATTTTAAATTTTATTCAAATGATCAATAACTATTATATAGAGAACAAACATGATTTAACAAGACATGCATACTTCATGCTTTAATGTTAAATTAAAAAAATTATTGATGAAATGATATTAATTACACAAGAAACCGAAAATTGAAAGGTTAAGTCAAATCACCAATGATTTTTTTTAATATTTGGGTGTGTCCAACGCTATGTTGTAAGTGAAGTTCAATTTTTCTCAGCATAAAAAACAAACCTCAACTAATGATAGTGTTATTTAAAAGAGAAAGAAAATTCAGGAGTCACGTAATTTATAAAATTCTTGATTTTCTATTTTTTTTAATATTAAGTATCAAATTTATGTAAAATTAACATAAAAATTATTAGAAAACATTTTTTTTAAATGGATAACATTAAATCCAAAAATAGAAAGAAAAGAAATAGGAAAAGAAACAAAAATTCATTAGAACCCAATAATAGATTTATCATGCACATGTGCTTTGCCTTTTGAAAAAGAAAAATGTGACACTATCAATGTCATTGTAGAATGGGACATTTGATTGTTAAGAGATATTGCACATGCCATCAAAAAAGCATAGGGGCTTTAACTTGTTGGTGCATGTCTATTTATTTATTTTGATTATATTTATATTTATTAAAAGACTAAATTACATTTCATTCAAAATAAAACTATACAAGTCACAAAATAGAAAACTAACACCCTAGATATATCAATCCCTTTCTTCTAAATAAAAATTTGAGAGATTTTTTTATTAATGATTCATGTAGATTATTATTAGAGATCAGATAATTAGACTATTTGTATTTTACAACAACTTAACTTTTAAAAAGTTATTTAAAATTGATTTTTTTAGATAATAAATCTTTAAACAACTCTAGATATATCTAACAAAATTCTAGAAACTTCTAAGTTTCAATTACGGGTTAAATTGACAAAATCCAATACCAAAGACCATATTGTAAAAGGTACCTAACTTCAGGGTTCCAGTTGAAGTTCAACAGGGGCTTAATTGCATTAAATCCAAAGTTTAGAGTCAATTAGGGGTTCAATTGAAAACAATTGAAAGAAAAAGGATTCAATTAAAATTTAGTAAAAATTCCTATTTTAGTCCAAAACGGCTCTGTTTTTTCAAAAGAAAAAAAAAGGATCAGACAACGCGTCGTTTGTATGTTTTTATGGATGTTTTTTTATGATGAAATTGCAAAGAATAAAAAAGAATTTAATATTTTGATTTGTTCACGGATAAAGAATTATGAACTTACACGTAAGTCGTATTTCTAAAATTCAATGAAAGAACAAAATTTTTAAAACTTCTTTAACATATTTAGTCCACGAAGCAGCTTACCTCATATAGGATCCGTTAGGGGTGCTAATACCTTCCCTAATCATAACCAGTCATTTACCCGTGAATCTCTGACAAGACTAGTATACCTAGGTTTCCTAGTAGCTCTTAATTAAATATGAGGTAGTGACTCCAACGAACCAATCAAAGCAAACGAATAAATGATAAATCATCAAGCCGATGATGTGCGGATTTTGATGTGCGACATAAGTTAAGATATAAGGGATACATGGAACTA